ACTCAAGGACCAAAAACTCACCAAGAGAACTAAACTCACAGGTTTAAATTTGCTCTTCCTACTACACTGCACATTTTTATGGGCCTTCCAACTGAAAAATTGAAAATCGGTTGTCTGACAAAAATGGACATGTAAAGGCCTCTGCAAAGACCTTGCTAAAGGAGATAAGTGTGACATTATGTTTAAATAAAAAATAAATTCAGTCCAGTAACTTGAAGAAAGAAATTACTCAAACCAGCATACATATACCACATATTTTTATTATTATTTTAAGAGTTAAAAACCACTTAGCATTGTATATTAATTGTAAAAAGTGGTATACTTGCATGGAGCATCTTTGTTCCTTGTATATGGACTATTCTCCTCGTTATCTAATTATTATGCTCTTTTTGAAGATGAGAGTCACAACACCAATTCTCAGAATTTGGTTGTAGGCAGAAGTTTTAACCACAGACTCTCTCTTATTGCCTTCAGTATAATTCAGGAGACACTTTCCATGGGGACAACTTCTTGATAGTTTCTATCAGGTGCTGAGCAGGTAGGCACTAGAAAACATATATTTCAGCATTATTTCACTTGTTTCATACACAGTGTTCTTAAAAAAAAAAAAAGAGGAAAAAGAACACATTGGTAAGAGTAAAGTTACTTCCAGTGTGAGTGATTAAATCTTGCAGACAATAAGCAATAACTTTATAAGTTTCATTTTCTCTTTTTATTGTTAGCCTGTGGTCCAGCAAATGCATCTGACACACTGTACAGACATGTATTCACAAGACTGTCTTTGTTGCTAGATTCTCCCCTGAGTCCATGAAGTTAGCATACCCAGAAGGTCAGTAAAAACAACTTTTTCATTCCTTTTTTTTGCTTTTTAAAGGCTTAGAGATGAAAATGGGTACACCTGACATTAAGATGAACCTGAGGCTATGTGGCTTTGGACCATCCCACTGATAATCTTCCACAACCTACAGAAAGCTTATAAACATTTTGATATTTTAATCACCCATCGAACCAAGGTGTGGCAAGTAACAAACCAGGCCATGGTCTTCTGTATGATTTTACATTGGATTTGGTTCATTTCCATTTATATTCAGAAACAAAGCATTCCTTTTCTCAACTGTTACAGGCACACACCACATCCTGTGCTCAAGATACTTCCTCCACTACAGGTCACGCTGGGGAGCATCACAGCAACTTCTGCTGATGTCAGGGCTTAGTTCCCCAGAACAGGCTGCAGTTTCACTGACTGCCACCCCTGACAGTGGCTAACACTGGCTACTTTGGAGAAAGCATAGCACCATTCCTCTTTAGCCAGAGCCAGTTTAAGGTCTTTCTGAACCAAAAGTGACATCACCACCTTTGCTTATGGCTTTTTATTTTTTTCTTTAAAAGCACCCCTCTTGCTTGCTTCTAAGCTTTCATCCTGAAGACTTAAATTCAATTTGTAGTTTATTACAGAGAAATAAATTAATTTATGTGTGTCCTCCATTCACTATTTATGTCTCTGTAAAGAGCTATCAACTCCTCTCCTCTGAAATCTATTATTTATCAGGAAAAACTTTTCTGTCTTTATATGAAAACTATTCCAATGATTCTTGTTTCTTTGTGGAGGTTGGGTTTCTTTTAATTCTACTCTAACTTCCTTTTGATAAGGTGGCTCAAAATGCATGCAGTGTTGAAGATCTCCATGTATTCATATACCAATTTTATGGAATTTTCTCCTTTTTTCCACTTGTTTTTTTTTTTTTTACTTTTTTTCTCTTTCTACCTTTTCCTAACATGGTTCTGCTTGTCTTTTTGACCCCTATTGAGTATTGAGCTGACATTTTCACGTAACTATTAACAGCGAGTCCAGGATAATTTCTGAGGGATAATAAGCAAAACAGATCACATCACTACATATGTATAATTAGTGGACATGCAATATTTTACATTTATCTGTTCTGAATTTCCTCTGCCATTCTCTCACTCAGTCGTGCAAGAACTACAAGATTTTCTGCACTGCTTTATAGCCAGGTTTAGGTTTCATGTCTGTGTAAGCTTCATCATTCCCCTCACTCTCCTCTTAAAAGAAGTTTAAAAGACTTCTTTTAAACATAATAAAAATGTAAAAATACAGACGACTGCACTGTGCCAGATCAGTGATCCCCCAAGCATTCTGTGCAGTATTGACTAAAACCAAAGATGCCTAGGAAATAGCATCAGAACACAACCCTGGAACACCTACCACTCTTGACTACTCCTGAGTTTGCATGCTGTGTTTATAGCTTTGGCTTGGTTTTCCGAACTGCTGCCTCCTTGGACCCAGAGAAACTTCTAGTGTTTGTCATGTCACCGGGTACGGAATGTCAGAGCTTAGCAACACAATGTGCAAAGAACCACCTCCTCTTGTTCTGAACGTGACACCCACCAGCTTCCTTTGGCACCACAGACACTTGGGCTCTAGTCACCCTCCAATGACACCCATAATTTGGTGGACTTCTACTTTTGAAGACTGAGCCATTTGTCAGCTATTTGTGAACTGATTCAGAGTTTCTTTAGGCTTAGGGTCAAAACTGAGCTATCGAGCAAAGGACAACAGTTGGATGGGCTATCAACATTGTCCAATGCTTTTCTGGAAAAAATTGTAGCAATTTTCTCCTTGATATTTGATCTATAATTTAAATGCAAGCTGCAACAGATCAGTAAGGTTCTTGTCCCAAGAGCAGTTGCAACACTCCTGCAGTTAATAAATTAGACTCTTGCATTTCAACAATATATATCTTATCTGTAAATTTTAAGTATATTAAGAATAGATGTGCAGAGGAAAGAGGGAAGCAGATAAAATTAAGCTATAAGTTTTAGAAGCATTCTTCTGAGTTGCCTTTCTGCTTGTCTTTCTATTGTCTCCTCTTTGACTGGGATTTTTCCTCACCCAAAAAAACAAGCCTGAGTAACACTTTTACTGCTGGCCAGCAAAGTGAAAGTTGTGAGGGCAGGAGTTTACGAGGTTGAGACTACCAAAAACAGGAGAGCAGACAATATTTACCTTATTCTTACCCTATACTTTCATATACATTGTTATTTGGGCTTTTCAAAAAGAAACGGAAATCATCTTAGTCTATGCCCTAGGGATTTTTTTTTCCCCTGGTGATTGTGGAAAGTCGAGGTTGGAGCAAGTGAATTTTCGCTTAATTCCGAGGACAGGGAGGTTTATGGTTGCTCTGATGTGTTCCAGGAATCAATCCCTCAGTTGTGGGCTAGCTGCAGAAGCAGTTTGTCTCTCCCATTCATTCCCCATTTCACCAACAATGCCATTGTTCCAGAGGAATGCAGCTGTCATGAGCAGCCGTGACTGCAGAAGGTGCTCCCTCAGGCAGCCTGGGATGCTGCCATCAAGCATTGTAAAGTGAAAGACCAAAACCAAAACCTTGAACTTGCCTTGGTGCTCAGCGGGGTTACAGTGCAATGAGCAGAACTTCAGGGCAATATGCTTTCAGCAGCCTGTAATAGGAAGGAGATGAATGGCTCCATTTTGCGTCAGCTTTGCAAATCTATACCATATGACTGGCTACTAAAAGTCAGTGGCCAACCCAAGCACAAGGATTTGTAGCTTCTAAGGCTGTTGTGAAATTACGGGGGGAGGGAGTGGTTCAGTACTTATAAAAGTGAGAGGCACAATCTGAATTCAGGAACCTGCTTAAACAGAAATAAATCCATACTGTGTGGAAAATCACACTGCCAAAGGCCTGTGTCCACAAATGAGACAGAGCAGTTCTGCAGAAATCAGCTTTATTCAGATAATGGGAGGGTCCACTGGGCCATACCCCCGT